AGGAACTGGAAAATCATACGTGGGGCTACAGCTAGCTCGATGTCTGCTGTACAACAAGGATATGTTGAACCTGGGCCCGATACTATGCGTGTACGTGAAAACACCCATCTTATAGTTCATGCAGTCTTAGATACTAACTTGTATGTCGCAGATGCTACACTGCTCACGCACTTGATCAATTTCTCGATGGTCTCCTTAAATCGGGTGTTACCAATATCATCAGGATTGGCCCTCGCAGTGCCTCTCCACATATCGAGAGTCTCTCACTGGAAACTAGAAAGCAAGAGCCAGGACCCCGAATTAAAGGCCTTCCTAGGATAAAGAATGAATCGCGAGTGAAGTTACTCAGCATAAGCTCAAGAATTGATGAACTCCTGAAGCAAGCCCAGAGCGGCTGTCACAGCCTCGTTCTTGGGGTTCTGAAGAAAAGATTCCCCTCCCACTCCAACCGCATAATTTCGGGGTCTCCTGGCCAAACGGACACAAATGCATTACAAGCGTGGGTTTCTGGCGATGCTCCCGGAGACTGGAGCGATGCTAATATTGTGCGCTCCATTGACCGACTCCTGCAGGAGGACGTCTGGACGCTCACGGCTTCTGAGCGAACTCGTCTCCTTAGTTACTGGCAGGAGGCGGCTCTCACAGAGATCAGTCAACAAGTATTGACACTTCTAGAAGCTCATTCGGCAGAAAAGGAGCGATATACCTCAGCGTTCAACATGTCAGATGTGCAACGCCTGAACGACTGTCAGGTGGTAGGCGTAACTACTACCCAACTAGCAAATAATGCTGATTTGCTTCGAAACCTCGATGCAAAAGTACTCATCTGTGAAGAGGCAGCAGAGGTTCTTGAGTCGCATGTTCTCACTGCGCTAATACCTTCGATCCAGCACGCTATTTTGATAGGAGATCACTTGCAGCTACGTCCACGCATCTCGAACCTTAGGTTATCAATGGACTATGAACGGGAGAGCCCAAAGTACAACCTCGATGAGTCATTGTTTGAGCGACTAGCAAACTTCCGGTTCGGAGAATCTACATCTATTGAAGGTGGACAGAACCAGCAGCAATATAGCTTCCCTGTGATGCAGTTGAGCCATCAACGGCGGATGCATCCATCCATTTCCGAACTGGTCCGCGAGACTTTATATCCAAAGCTCCAAGATCATCCTACGATGGCCTCATATCCCCTTGTACCTGGCATTGCTCATAGATTGTGTTGGCTCGATCACCCTCACTTGGAAGATCCGACTGATCCTACAGAGCCAATGCAAAGCAAGACGAATACATGGGAGATTGGGATGGTAACCGCATTGGTGCGACATCTCTGTCAACAAGGCAAGTATGGGCCCGGCGAGATTGCCGTATTGACGCCATATGTTGGACAGTTGAGAATGCTCAGAAATGTCCTGGAAAAGCAAATGACCCTAATAATCAGTGAGACGGACTCGGAGGTACTCGATGAAACTGAGGGGTTAGAAGTGAGTGGAACCTCTACTGCGCATGGGAAATGGTGCGGAAAGCAGAGGGCCCCTCAGAAGGGAAGCCTCCTAGATGTCGTTCGATTGGCTACAGTCGACAATTTCCAGGTAGGAGATAACCAAAATCTGCAAATAATAGGTCTAACACCATTTCTACCAGGGCGAAGAAGCAAGTGTCGTTATTGTCTCCCTTGTCCGCAGCAACAGATCCCGAAATTGTGGGTTTCTGAAGATGCCAAACAGGATCAACGTACTGCTCAGGCAAGTATTATACAGGGATGGTACTCATTGTATGAATGCTGACTTGGTCTCCAGCCGTGCCAAACATGGTATGTATATTATTGGCAATGCAAGTACGGCATCAACCGCGCCCATGTGGTCATCCGTTATTCAGCTGCTGGAAAAAGGCGCTAATATTGGCCGGAGACTTGAGTTGCGTTGCGATCGTCACCCGTCCCAGGGGTTCTACGTTTCTTGCCCGAATGACTTCACCATACATTCCCCTGAGGGTGGATGTGCGGAAAAATGCAGACTAAGGCTAGACTGCGGGCATACCTGTGCTGTGAAGTGTCACTCAGAAAGACAACACAAAGCAGTGAAATGTATGGAGCTGTGCACTCGGATGAAAGACTGCGGCCATGCATGTCCGAAGAAATGTCATGAGCAATGTGGGGGATGTTTGCAGGTAGTCCATAATGTCCTCCTCCCCTGTGGGCATTTAGCGGAGGCTGTGGAGTGCAGACAAATGGGTAATCTCGCAAAGGTGCGGTGCACTAAACGCGTTTCTCGCACTATGGATCGCTGCGGCCACAGTGTCGAGATACGCTGCTTTGAGAATGATGGTGCAGTGAATTGCTTTCATCTGTGTGACAGCCCCCTGTCTTGCGGACATACCTGTCGGCGTCTATGCTGGCAGTGTAGATACACAGATGGTGACTCCTACCACATCGATCATGGCCCATGCCGAAACCCTTGCGGCCGGGGATTCTCGGCTTGCTCGCACAGCTGTGGCCAACCGTGCCATCAGGGTACGCTGTGTCCGCCTTGTAATCTGACATGCGAAGTGCGCTGTCGGCACAGCCGTTGTGCAAAGACATGCAGCGAGCCGTGTCCCCCATGCGCAGAGACATGTGGGTGGGGCTGTGAGCATCGCGAACAGTGCAGTATGCCATGTGCTGTCCCTTGTAACAACATTCCTTGTGATTTGCGATGCAAGAAGAAAATCACAAGTTGTGGACATCAATGCCCTGGTATCTGTGGGGAACGTTGTCCAGATCCTCGGTTCTGCCGGCTATGCTGTGGACCAGAAATTCTGGAGCAGAATGTTGATCTCATCGAGCTCAAGGCGTACAAGGACGTCGACATCGACCAAGATCCATTGGTATTCCTTTCCTGTGGTCACTTCTACACAGCATCCTCACTGGACGGCATAATGGGGATGTCTGAACATTATGAAATGGAATCATCTACAGGCAGGTTACTTGGCCCGAAACTTACACACCGATTATTGGAGTCTGGGCGTCCAAAAGGGTGTCCTCAATGCCGTGCACCACTTCGTGATATCGATCGCTATAACAGAATCATCAAACGAGCATTCCTCGATGAAGCAACGAAGAAGTTCGCCACTCATGCAAGCTTGAAGTTTAGTCACCTGCTGGAAGAGGTTGAGGTCTGTGAGAAAGATATCGAGCGCGAAAAATCGGGTTTTGTATCTGAATGGTTGCAGGATTCAGTCGGGACCAGAAGTGCCGACGAGGTCAAGCGCTCGGTGGAGGCTTATCGTGGAAGGGGAAACAGACTTTTGGGCAAAATCAAGGAGTTTACCAAATCTGTGGCAAAATCTGAGCAGCCGTTTGGGAGGGTCAGTGATATACTCGCGTCAGCAAGTGCGAGGAAGGCTAGCATGCCTGAAACACCCTTCCATTACAGTGAATCGTATATCCAAACCGGGTTTCAATCACGCGGCCACGTTCTCGCTCTTCGACTCACCTGGGCTCTTTTCTGGAACTTTGACACCATCTACAGCAACAAACGAATTGACCCACGTATAAAGATGACTCTGGCCCAAGTGGTAACGAATCAGATTAGTGGTCTACTGAGTCGATGTGAAGCTCTGGCGATAGATTGCCACAAGGCTAAGTTTCTGCAGCAGGAGGTAGAGTCCCGAACGTATCATGCTATGTTCTCAGTGCTTTCCCTTAGCAATCAGGAAGCACACGGTAACCCTGTCGAGGGAGCCATTGAAGCAAAGATACGGGAAAAGGCACTGAAAGAGCTGAAAGATTGCGATGCGATTTGTTTGCGCCATTCTAAAATTCTATGGTCTCTCCGTGAGGATATCGAAAAAGCAAGGAGACTGGTAAAGGGCGGAACATTCTACAGCTGCGTTACCAGCGAAGAAAGACGGCAGGTGTATCAGGCCATGGCGGCACAGTTCAACGGTACAGGCCACTGGTACTATTGTGAGAATGGGCATCCGGTATGTGATATCACCATCGATTCTCGTTGAGTGCTAACTCGGATTGCCAGTTTGCGGTGGGAGAATGTGGGATGCCAATGGAAGAAAGTCGCTGTCCGCAGTGTGAGGCGCCAGTGGGCGGGCTCAATCATGAGTTTGCTCAAGGGATCCGCAGAGCAGATGACATGGATGTGGAGTTTGGCGGTTCCCTTTCTCTCGAGGCGGACGCAGACTGGTAAGCTGCCAATCATATGATCTTGATATTGAGGTCGTTCAAATGTATGCACATGCGAGAGATGTTTCTGTAGTATATTGCGCCAGAAGCTAGCTAGCAGAATGATCATCGGCTTCGCGATAGCAATGAGGTAAAGACATGAAACCAACTACTATGGTAGCACTAACTATTACATGGCACCCGATAGCTCTGAGTACCTCTAAATGTAACTGGATAATTGATGGAGTATTGATTTTCAAGAGGCATGCACCACATAACTCTCCTAGCTATCTCACAAGTCCGAGTGCAACCCGATGCGATGCGGGATTTTTGACAGTGCATCCACGTCATGCACTGCCACCCCAGCGAGTATCACTACCCATGTAGAAGAGGCTGCGATGGCCATAGTGTATCTAGATTCTCAAAAACCGGGATTATACCAAGGAGTGGCTGCAATGTGCTGGCCAGCCTTATCGGGCGGGCATCCATTGTGAGTGGGATGGCGTGCAACGTGTCTCGCCTCGCGTCGGCGGCATCTTCTTCCACTTCCCCTCCCCACTGCTCCTCCATCCTCGACCCCTCGATCGGCATCCACGTCGACTGGCAGGAGCAAGCTGCAAGCTTTCGGAACCCAGGTATGAACCTGATACGCTAGATTCGTTGCACTGAAGTCTAATGCGACGCTGCAGCTTCCTCTCATGCTCCCAGCTTCCATCAAGGTGCTGCCTGCTTGCTTTATTCTCTCGACAGGGATAGCAATGGCGTTCATGGTGCAGGGACTGATGTGACCGACATAGCTGGGTGTAGTATGCAGCAGGAAATAGTCGTACCTCCGAACTAGAAGGGCCTTCACTACGGTTTCACGAAACTTGAGCTTTGCAGTGTTTGGTAGCCAATACCACCCGCTGATCGCTGTCTTCCCTTGAACAATCGAATTCTCCCTCTGCAATACACCACACTGGCGGGTTATCGACACTGGCAGATGGAGGTGTCGACAGTTGCAGGCGGATAGGTTCAGGCATTGCTACATGCAGCTACCTTGGAGTACCCCGCAGTCACCATCTACCAATCTCCTAGGCCATACATCGTGTCAATCAAGAGAAACGTGCATTATCCAGCTTTGGTCGAATAGTGATGAATGGCGTCGGATGCATGCTGTACGTTGCAATGCCCAAACTGAGGTCACCCAACAGATGCGTCTGATAGCCAGGCTATGGCTATCGCGCATATCGTGCAAAATCGGACTGGAAGAACGTTATGGAATGGGCAGGTCGAAGAACATAAAAGGCGTCAAGTGCCAGCTGCTCATAGCATCTACAACTCCATCCTTCATCCTAATCTACAAGCTACAAGCCTCCAATTCCCCGCCACCATGCCTCAGGACCTTAAGGTACGAAAACACACATTAACCTTGCTTCAGCTACTGATGCTCATAGAACGCCCACTACTCCTATGACTACCTCCATGGGTTGAGGGAGAAGTACGAGAAGTCGGTAAGTGTTCCTCGACACCCCGGTCTGCTCACGTCTAACTGTCACCTAGGCTCAGGACTTCTGCCGTGAGTATCTCCAGAGATGTGAGTTGATGGGATATTAACAGCAGCAGGCGGTATGACCTTTGAGGACGCCCTTGCCCATGTCAAATCGGCCGGCCGCACAGACTTCACCCGGGAACAGTTGGAGGCTTTTGACACCAACCATGACGGCAGCATCAACTTTGCTGGTGAGTGTCTTATGCATTTCTCGAGAAATGCTGCTAACTGAAATAGAATACATGGAATTGATGCTCAACAACGACAAGGAGCTCGCGTTCCGTAATGCCAAGTTCATCGCTTAGATTGGGAGGATCGGCCGGCGCTGTATATAGGCCGCGATATAGCATGAATAAATGATTATGACAACTATATCTATGTCTTCGTCGTTTGAGTCCGCTACAGACTCTGTACTGTGTAATCGCATTTTCATCGTCGCTCTCGTCTCCGAGATTAGTAATAATACTTCCTGATGTCAACATTCAAAACACGGCATTCCACAACATTCAAATGATGTCATGTCTCAATCCCTAACATCTTGCTGAAACAGGTACCGCTCTGTGATTTCATCGAGCAAACAATATAGTAGAAAGGTCACCCTTGCATTTGGTATGATACTATTGGCGGCATCCAGTGTTGATCGTATTCAATATGACCAGTAGTCTCCACTTCAACAGTGGGTTTGCGATAGCCAGGCATCGGCAGTATTTCCTGCAGAGCATTTACACTTCTTCATCTCACTTCACTTGTCCCTGCTCTCACTACATCTTCAATTTCACAAAGTTACAGACATCATGTGGCTCTCTCTTGTGTGCAGTATTCTGCTGCCACTTGGGGTAGTCAACGCACAGTCTCAGTACCTCAATGAGAAAACCAAAGGTACACCACATCGCGTCAGTTCGAATTCCACTAACAGCACTAGAATTCGTCGTCAATGGGTCTGCCCTTCCTTTCGTCGATTTCGACATTGGCGAGTCCTACGCGGGCTACCTCCCCAACACGCCTTCTGGCATCTCCAGCTTATACTTCTGGTTCTTTCCTTCTTCCGATCCTAATGCGTCCGATGAGGTATGTTGACCCCAGTTCACTCTCTTCCATGGCTAATAAACAGATCACCGTCTGGCTGAATGGCGGCCCAGGATGCAGCTCCCTGGCAGGCATCATGCTCGAGAACGGTCCCTTCCTATGGCAACCTGGCACCTTTCGACCCGTGCGCAACCCTTTTTCCTGGAACAACCTCACCAACATGGTGTACATTGATCAGCCTGCTGGAACGGGATTCTCGCTTGGTCCGTCTACGGTAGTCTCGGAATTCGATGTAGCGAGACAGTTTATGGACTTCTGGAGGCGGTTCATGAAAACGTTTGATCTGCAGAATCGAAAGATCTATCTCACCGGAGAGAGTTATGCGGGGCAGTATATTCCATATATCGCCTCGCAGATGCTAGACCAGGATGATGATAAGTATTTCCGGGTTGCCGGCATCCAGATCAATGATCCCTACATCAATGAGGTGTCAGTTTTGCAGGATGGTTTGGTGCCCCTGCCACAGGCTATTATTTACTCGACTAACTTTGAATGCAGTGCCTGCTGTTGCGACCGTCAATCAGCACCGCTCCCTTTTCCCCTTCAATGACACCTTCATGAGCCAAATCACCCAGCTTTCCGACGACTGTGGCTACACTTCGTTCCTAGAAGATGCCCTTACCTTTCCACCCCCTTCCAAATTCCCATCAGTGCCCTACAATGCCAGCTGCAACACCTGGGAAACTATAATCAACGCCTCGCTAGCTCTCAACCCATGCTTCAACCGCTACCACATCCCCGACTCCTGTCCCACATCGTGGAACCCAGTCGGGGGTCCTGTCGTCGGCCAGGGTCCAACCAACTACTTCAACCGCAGCGACGTTCAGAAAGCCATCAACGCTTACCCAACGGATTATTTCGTCTGCAAGGATGGAATCTTCCCGACGGCCGACGGACTGGACACATCTCCCCCAAGCTCCCTGGGACCGCTGCCGCGCGTCATCGAACAAACTAACAACACCATCATCGCGCACGGCTTGATGGATTTTGAGCTCCTGGCACAGGGAACCCTGATCAGTATCCAGAATATGACCTGGAACGGGAAGCAGGGGTTCGAGCGGGAGCCAGTGGAGCCGTTGTTCGTGCCGTACGGCGGATCATCGGGAGGAGGCATATTGGGAACAGCATATACAGAGCGTGGATTGACATTCTCGACAGTGTTCAGCTCAGGACATGGTATGCCCCCTAACCCAGTATGCGATGAAGCGGAATACTAACTGGAATAGAAATCCCAGAATATGCACCGGGAGCAGCATATCGCCAGCTAGAGTTTCTGCTAGGGAGGGTCGCGAATCTGTCAATGAGCTGATCGGGAGACAAACAACAATCAAAAGCAAAATACATCATTGCAGGCAATAATTGAGCAGGTGCAGGTGACGGAGCAGAATGGTCGAGCTGTCAGATCGGATGATTGTTCGGCAATGAGATTATTGAAGCTAGAACTAGCTCTGCTGAACTTTGCTTCTCCACCACAGCTATCGCCATCATAATCCAATCATCACTGCAATTCTACCTTGATCCCCTCATCGTAGACCCGTAAATCCGACAAACAATATACTAGATGTGAACAGCATATTCAAAGCCAATAAAAACCCCCAATACTCCATGGCATCTTGATGATCGACATCATCGATCCGACCTCGGATCGGAAATTCCCCCAAACTCTGAAGCCGGGCTGCTGGGTCCACCCCGCATCTTCACACTCAAAAATTAAAGATTTCCCCTCATTTAATTAATCCCTTTTCCATCTTCCACTTACTTTCCTTGTTCCCTCACATACCATTTTTGCTCTTTGTATAATGCTCTATTTTACATCCACAATGTCACCAACATCCATACCAACCCACCAAACCGCCGCCTGCATCGACAATCCCAGCCCGGGCGCGACCCTCACCATCCGCCATGATATTCCCGTTCCTGTGCCGGGAGCGGGGGAGGTTTTGGTCAAGTTGGAGTATACGGGGTTTTGGTTAGCAGCCACAGAATTGGATCTGATTTATTATTAATATGTGAATATGCTGATGGGCTGTGTCAAAATGGATAGTCATTCCGATCTGCACAATATTAATGGGGACTTGCTCATGACGACGAATGTGCCGGGGCATGAGGGGGTGGGGAGAGTTGTGAGAGGTGAGAATGTTGAATGGGATTATGATGTGAATTGCGACTGATATGGTGTAGTTGGACCTGATACTCCGGCTGAGATGGTGGGGAGGAGAGTTGGTGTTAAGTATGTTTTCATCCCGGTTTATAATTCGGTGCTTTGGTGGGATGAACTAACGAGGTGTCTATCTAGATGGCTGTATAAGACCTGCATGAAATGTCCGACTTGCAAGGTGCAGTATACGAATTGTCGGAATCAGGATAATTCGGGGAGGGTAAGTATTTTCCACCCTAGTATACCTTCGCAATTGATGCTAATGATGGTGACAGAATGTTCCTGGGACGTTTCAACGTGAGATATCTGTTATCCCATACGAAGAGGATATATTCAGCTAATAATGCTATAGAATACGTCGTGTCTCCCGCAAACTTCGTCTCGCTTATTCCAGAGGATCTGAATCCCGAAGCTGTCGCGCCGTTGCTATGTGGTGCGTTTCATCCTTCTTCTCTCAGCAAGAATACCACTAACGGATGCAGCCGGTCTCACCATGTACGGCGCTCTCAGCAAGGTAGAGAAGTTGTATGAAAAAGGAGATTGGGTGGTTATAATGGGCGCAGGTGGTGGACTGGGCCATTTGTATGCCTTCCTACCCGATAACACGGACATTAGCTGATATGTGTATAGGGGTCTTCAAATCGGCAAAGAAATGGGATACAAGATGATTGCAGTAGACAGGTATGCCTCTTCCTATCCTTGCCAGACACCGCTAATACCTTTCAGCCCATCCAAGAAAGACCTCTGCCTTGCATCCGGTGCATCCGCCTTTTTCGACTTCAAAGATGACAACGTACTTCCCCTCCCTTTTCCGTCTTCACACATATACTAATGGTGAACAGTTAATCCGCAACATCCAATCCCTAACCGACGGCGTCGGCGCCCACGCCGCCCTCATCGTCGTCGGATCCGAGAAAGCCTACGAGCAAGGCGTTGCTCTTCTCCGTCCGCTGGGCACACTCGTATGCGTGGGCTTTCCCCGTCCGGACTTCCACGTGCCTGTGGCACCGCATTACTGCGTGGACTATGGACTGCAGATACTCGGTAGCGCGGTGGGTACGGAGACGGAAATGCAGGCATTGCTGGAGATGGCGAGAGCAGGGAAGGTGTCGACTCATTACGAGGTGTTTGATCTCGAGCAGATTAATGATGTCGTGGCGAGGATGAGAGGGTATGCGGTTAGTGGGAGGGCAGTGTTGCGGATTCCGGAGGCAGCAGCTGCGAGGATGTAACTGTATAGCAGATGTTAAATGTACTCGATAGCACGTATAGTATATACCAAATCTTATTCCAGCTAAGTACAACATAATCAATATCAACTACTAACCAAACAACAACTGACCCAGGATAGGATACTCAGTATCTCCACCTCACTCCCAAACCCCCGCTCATCTCACCCTACCCAAATCAAATCACCCACTTAGAGCCCTCCAAAAAACGACGCCAACCCACCCGCCGCCGACGAACTACTCGCCGCATCCGAGCTCGAGCTAGAACTAGTAGTAGTACTAGTACTCGTCGACGACTGAACCTTCTCCGCCAAAAAGCTCGCCGCATCACCCGCATCCAACCCATATGTCAAATGCATAGCGGTAACAATCAACGTATCATCACAGACCAAATCACCCACGGCACAATAAACCTTGACATCATCCTTGGGATAGTTGGGGATCTGTCCATGGTCTTGCACGTTTCTCGTGAACCCGAAGAGCACCACACCCTTAATTTGATCTCTCACTGTCGAGCTGACTTCTTGGACAGCGTTGTCGATTACGGCGCTTCCTTGACTATACACATCCCATCCCCGAAGGGGATTATATTAGCTATGTTTCTTATTTTGCCGCTGGCAGCAATCATATTGGTATAGGAGGGAAGGGAAGGGATATACCTATAACCACCCGCCACAATCTTCGTATTAGGACACTTGGAATTCGCCTCCTCGAACATCTGCTTCGCGGCAGAGATACTCCCCGGATCAGTGTTCTGGGGTAGCGCATTCTGCACCAGTCCGGCGCTGTATTGGCCGCCGACACCCTGGCAGGCGACTTTGTCGGAGCCGAGTTTGGATTTTAGGCTGTCGCAGAGGGGAGGGCCGATTACGGTGCCCTATACCATTATTATTATTATATTAGCCTAGCCCTCTTTCTTTCTTTCTGTATCCATCGGAGGTAGTATTTCCCCGGAATTGGGATATGGGTAGAAGAAGAAGGTTGGGACATACCATATTCCCCAACTCAGTCGAACCCCTTGCAAAAATCAACGTCACATCCTTGCAGCTCCCCTGCTCGAGTTCGTTGGCTGTAGAGCCCGTGCCGAATTGACGGGCGTAGAGGGATCCAGGGTCGGATGCTAGTGGGGTGGAGATGGCCAGGGTGGCTAGGGAGGCGGTTAGGAGGAGGGATTTGAGGGGGGCCATTGTATTTTATTTTATTCCTTTATGGGTCTTTGGGGGAAAGAAGAAGAATTAATGTGTGTGTGCTGCGCTGCAGGCTTTGAAAAGAAGAATAGAATTAGGGTAGTGGTAAAGAAGGCGTGAGAATGAAAGAGGGAGTGAGTGAGTGGACTGGCTGCTCAAGTCTGAGTCTGTCTGGGGGATCTACTACATACTTATATACATCTATCCATTCTATCGATAGTTAACTAACTACTACTGTTACTTACTACTGCTAGTAAGTTCTACTAAGTGAAAACAAGAAGATTCCGAGGTTAGTCTCCCTCCCTCCAGAATACTCCGTATACCTCGTGTGTACTGGCAAGTGCAAGACAGGGCAAACAGGGTCCGACGCAAAAATGAGTCGAGATGAAACAGAACTAACCAAAACAACTAGTAGACCCTTATACACAGTCCACTATCTAACGAACTAGCAAGTATACCCCGGGGTCAACAGTGGGAAAACTGTTTCAGGGGATCGGCCGCTTTTCTACGCTGGGAATAGTCCCGGGGTTAACTAGAACAAACCAGGGTTCGATCCCACTATTGTTTGTTGTATTCGTTAGGGTTCCTCCGGAGTTCATCCGACGTCTGTCCGTTCATCCACTAGATATCCAATCCAATCCAGGGACCAGGGACCCTGTTACAGGTAGTGCCTTGGGCAGTAGACATGTGGGTGATTAATTAACCTGTAGCGGGTGGCTTTTCCACCGTAAAACTCAATTTCTATCTTCACCCTCGTATTCTTGTCAATGGTATAGACTAGGCACCCACGTTCACGATCAATACAACCGTTGTTTCGTTTTAGTTGGGTGGAAAAGCTTGTCGGTTTGGTCTGGTTTTTGGGTCGAGCGTCTTTGCCGAGGCTGGATAAGGGGATCGTCAGGGACGGAATTGTTGACTGTGACTGACTGTTTGTGGTTGTGGTGGTTATCTAGAGAAAGTTCTTCTGGAATGCCGTCTTTTTCTTCCGAAAGGATCAATATTTGGTTCGGGGTGGAGAGGACTTCACTAGGATTCACAATCCATCAATCAATTGGAATCATGCTCATGATCACGTCGAATGTCTACGGCTATGTAAGATCCGAAGCTACGAGGTTTGGAATATGCCGTGTCTATCGTCTTCTCAATTTTGATCTTGTGCTATCCACTACGCATTAATTATCTTCTAGTCCTGCCATTATCCGGATAACCCGGAAGGTCCTCAACGTGCCGTGTGCGTTTTCAACGGCCTGTCTGTCTCTGACACCATCCGTGTCAGGGCTCAATTCCCGCCGTCCACATGCTTGGTCAATGTCTCGATGAAAGACTCGCCCCATTTCGCACTAGTGTTCGTCTCGATAAAGTGCCGCAACGTTTCATACCGACACTTGCGATCCTCGTCACTCATCGTGACCGCTTGATGAATCGCATCGACCATCTCTGACATATTCGCCGGATGGAAAGTAAGACATCCCTCCTTCATAAAAGACGCCGCGCCGGCAAACTCGGATAGCAGGAGCACTCCATGTCGCTGCGCCTGGCACGCAACGTACTCGAACGAAACAAGGTTCATCCCATCCCGCGTCGAGGTCAGTAAGCAGGCATCGGCAACCGAATACAGCGCCGTCAGTTCGCTGAAGTTGACGGACCGGTGCATGTAGATCAGCGGACAGCCATCGGCGGTAGCTAGACTCATCAGTACCATAGACCAACCTCAAAGCATAGGGTACTCACAATGCTTGCCGTTAATCCTCCCAGCCATCGTACTCAACTCCGTCTCTAGATCCTGATACTCCTTCACATCCTCCCGACTAGGCACTGCCACCTGAATAAGCACTACCTTATTGCTTAACTCCGGATACTGATCCAAGAAAGCATCATAGCCCTTCAACTTCTGGTCAAGCCCCTTGATATAATCCAGCCGATCCACCCCAACAATAACCTTCATCCCCGAATACCTGCGCTGCAACTCCCTTATGCGGTTCTGTACTTCCTCATTTTGCAGCGCATCCGTAAACTTCTGCGGATCGATGCCGACGATGAACTTCTCCGCAACCACCTCATGGCCTTCATACTCCAGCGCCCCTGACTCTTTCACCTTCGCATCGGCCCTAAAAAACTGTCAGCACATCCACCATACCCATAACGGTAGCAAACCTACAGAGTCTCCGCACAAAGCACGAAATTCCTCTTATACTCATCCGTATGAAACCCAATAACATCACTCGCCAGCAACCCCCTCAACAACTCCTTCTGCACCGGCAGACCCCGCCAAAAGTCCCCCGCCGGGAACGGCGTATGCAGCGAGAACCCAATCGCGCAATTCTTCCCCGCCAGACGATCCCTCAACAGCCGCGGCAGCAGCATAAGATGGTAATCATGCACCCAAATCAACGACCCCGGCTTGGCTGCGTCGGCGATCGTATCAGCAAAGATCTCATTTACTCGTTGGTATGCTTCCCAGGGACCGTCTTCGAAGTTGATGCCGGATTGGTAGTGTAGGATAGGCCAGAGGATGGCATCTAAACCAGAGAAATAAATATTAGCATACACTTCTTACTCATTCATCATAGATGATCTGGGTGGTATCGCACTAGAAAAGTTATTATAGTGATTATTCGCCAACTCATTATCCAAGAAAATCGGCACAGCATTATGCTCATCCAAGCTCTGGCGGATTTGTCCCTGTTCCTTTTCATCGGTCACGTCAATGCCTGGCCATCCGAACCAACTGAAGGTAGTCGTTTTAGTCAATCCTGATAGGGATGTGACTAGACCTCCACTTGAAAGGGAGGACTCGTAGCCCCCGTCGACCTTTTTCAGTGACAGAGGGAGACGGTTCGAAACAACGATGAGGTTGCGCTTCGTCATACTGGGCTGATCCGAAATAATTTAACGCGATCAACGGGGAAAATCAATTGCTATGTTTCGAGCTGCATGTTGCGCTGAGCGAGGCACGATGGGTTTGTATAATATCTCCGGCGGCATAGCAATACGTCAGCATGAGGGCACGACTCAGGCCCGCACGGGTGGCAGAGGGGCACCCAAAGAGTCAAATAAACGCCTTATTTCACCCCCTGGAGGGGCACCCTGTATTTCATGTCTGGACCGTGGACTGATCTCCGCTGCTAATGCAACGATGTTGCGATCTTGCCTGGTTATGTTGGATGTGTCAAGCTGGGCCGACGCGGTGGCTGGTGATCATCCAGCCGTGGCCGACGTCATTGTTGGTCATCTGACCCTATAGAACATAGTATAATAAAATGGGGATTACGGCCAGTAGGTGACAGCATGGTCAATGTTATTACGTATATACACGAACAGTAAAATCCATTCAACTCCAGTCCAGTCTTTTCGTCCGCCCAATGCAGTGCCTGTGCAACTCCGTCTCCCGCTGATGCCACAAAGTGTAGAATATGCCTACCTCATCCGCTTGGATGGACTCGGCGTACGCATACGAGATTCCCGCTCGCGGGTCCGCTCAGACACAAAGTCTTTGGTTGTGGCCTGCTCCAGCATGAGGGGCGCGTCCGGCTTCTCGAAACCTGTAGCCCCCTGATTCGGCGCTCCCATGTATCCAATCGAGTTATGTTGATAGGGGTATTGAGGCGGCGCAAGCGACGGGTGATGCTGTGCGGACGATTGTCGAGAATAGCTAGGGGGTGCAGAATAATCGTGTTGGTTGAGACGGTTTCTAAAGGAACGGAAGGACCAGTTGCTGACAACGGTGACGGTCGATATCGTAGCAAGGAAAAACATCTAAAATATTAGCCGATAACCTGCTTTGGGGAGAGTAAACCTACAATCGCTTTCCAGCTGATAGGGTCGATAAAGCTGTTGATAATTACAGCCATCGTATGCGCCGACACCTTAGCCCGCCCGACCTTGGCCGGATCCCGGTTCATGCATCGCTCCCAGTTTTCACACACGCTTTCCAAGGCCGGCAGTCTATCCCCTCCCGCGCATCGATTGTCGACGTAGCTCTTAGCGCATGCCGCCATTTCAGCCAGGATCGTATCTGACACCTCCTCGGCCGCCTGCTCGAATTCTGCCCGGATCGCTGACACAAACCCAAAGACCACATATACCGCAAGCGAGAACAACGACAGGTTCACCACCAACTGCGCCCACCAAGAAAGAATGCTAGGGACATTCGGATGTGCTTCCAGCAGAGCAAAGAAATCTGAGAATGAAGTCAGACGTGATCCCGTTTGAGTCGTCTCCGGCTGGCCTGGTCCCGGCTTCTGTCTTTGCTTGGTTGGCTTGAGCTCACTGCTGCTTGGTCGGTCACTCTCATCGTCACTGTCCCTCCGTAGTTGTAGATCCAGCGCCTTGTCCCTCCGCCGTCTCTTCTGCACCCGTCGTGCCAACGCGTTGGAGTAGTGGCTCACGCGGGGTATCTCGCCGCGACCAGGGCTCGGCGCAAACCGTCCGTACATGCTGAACAGCGAGTTCCGATGGGCTTTCGGTTGCTCGGGGGTATCTTCGTTGTCTGCGTGTTCGGGGGAAGACATGTTCTCAGCGCCGGACGAGAAGTCGACATCGAATTTGCGAGGCGTCATGAATGCTGATTGGTTAAAGAACGGCTTCGGAGTCGCGGGGGGTTGCTGCGTCTTGGTCTGGGAGAAGAGGAAGGGCTGGGAGTTGGGCTCTCGCAGCGCGGGCATCGTTTTCTTCTCTGGCGAATCGAAAATGCTATGGGGCCCTGTGGAGGAGCTGGTTAGGCGCCAAAAAACAAATGTTTGTCTCCAAGAGAGCTGCATCCAAGACCCACGTTTCTTCTGATTGTCATGCTGCATGCTGAGCTGGTAAAAGGGCGAGGTCACATCGCCTGGGGCCCTTGTCTGCCATTCAAAGTCCATCGGACTCTCCGCCGTTCGTTTATCCATCTTGAGGATGGGGACGACGAAGTGAATGAAGAATGAAGATGGTTGGTGGGTATGAAGTGGGTTGTGACGACAATGAAGGGTGATGAGAAGGAAGATCGGAGATGCGGACTTTTCCGATTCCTGTCTTTTTTGTTTTGGTAAACAATCCAGACTCGCCGCCGAGCAACGACTGGAGTCACAAATGCCACCCGTGGCAGTCGCAGTGATATATACAATCTCCCTTTTGTTTTATAGTAGTTTATTTAAAGTGGGCTAAATGTAATGAAGTTGCTATCCAAGTGCTATTAAATTGCATGCGGCTGCAGACAGTGCTGGGACTGTGACGTGCAGCAATCGCCCAGATGCACCTCACGGTCGCGGTTGTCCTATTAATAGCCTGACAATCAGTAATTATGATCGCCAATCGAATGAATGGCTGGCTACTTCCATTCGAACAGCACAATTAAGGGACTAATCCAATTAGCACAATGGCATGGCATTTGCGGGGGGGGCCATCACCCCGGACTCCCGTTGCGACTCGTCGGTCGCGCCCGCTTAACCTTTTATTCCCCACCAGACTACCCTCTTCCTTTAAAAAGTGTTCATGAAATGTTGTTTCTGTCATGATAAACATGATTCCATTGCTGGGATAGTATATTCGGTCTAAGCAATACTACAGTGGGGATCATTAATGAACGCTGAGAAACAGAAGAGGACAAGCAACCCCGGACTTCCTCCGCGTGACGATCACAACAGAACGAGTGACTGGAAGCAGGCGCGAAGTGATGTACAACATGCAGAAATGTCAAAATGAATCAGTGATCAGTCTGTGTCCAACGCCAGAATCAAGGACTGTGGTTAGGGATATCGACGCCAAAAGCACAAATGAGAAGAGGAAGCAACAGACGTGTCATAGCTTGATCCGATCGACCAGCTCAAAGTCATCGTCGTCAGCCATGTAGCCCAGGGCTGTCTCACCCTCATAAGAGATCATCTCGTACTCCTTGACAATCCGCTCTGTCTCCTTCGTTTCGAACTTCTCGACAGCCTTGCTCACAGCATCAGAGAGTATAGTCTGGCCCGCCACATCATAGTCACGCAGCGTATCCTTCCCCTCAGCATCATCGATAATCTTCTCCGCCGCAGCAGGGTCATCGATATCATCGCTGGAAGAATCCGACGTTCCACTGTCGAGAGCCTCACGGACGTCAGCGCGCAGGGCGATCTTGGCGTCGCTGAGATGATGGTTGGTTTCAGCCTTTCGCTGGAACCGCATCTGGCGTGTCAAGCTAGCGGCTGTCAGCGACATTTCTAGTTGTCAGGCACGGAAACATACGTTGTGTAATGAGTAGCTGGCAACCTCGGCCTAGCCTTGTGCAAGACATGAGAGTGGACAGCTTGGCTATAACGAGGCAGGGTAGAACGGCTGCCGTACGCCCACTTGGCCTTGTGGTCGTGAGCCCTTTTGGCCTCAACGCCAGCACGACGGATATCAAGCAAGGTGTCAGACATGACTGGAGAGGACAGTTTGGAGTCGACGGATGCGGGAGAAGATAGTCTCAGATATATACGAGGAATAGGTAAACCACACTCGGGGTGATGGGTGGCGCTTGCCTTTGTTATTGAGGGATTTCTGGAACAGGGGAATATAAAGCCAGGAAATTGAGGCGAGAGCGGTGGACAAAAGACTGAATACTAAAGCAGACCCGCGAACCAAAAATCTCCGATAAACAATAAACAAGAGAGGTTACAGGGCGTCTTTGGTCTGAGTCATAAAGAGGCCCCGGCTGGGCTTCCAGTCATCGACGACCCGAGGATGTCGAGCGGCAAATGTGCACGGTAGACTCTCACAATGATGGGGAAATGAGTAATAAAGAGATCCGACAAGGAGACCCTTCTCTGAGCAAGTCGAGAAGAGGACAGAAAAGAGGCAACAAAGTGACACCTTGGGGGTGAGCTCGTCATCCAGGGGAAGATATAACTACTATCTCCAACCGCACGCGCTCCGAGGGGGGAAGACTAAATAGGCAGCACGGGGTCCGCGCGAGGCGATGCTGATTATGGCAGGTCATCTGTTGGGAATCATCTATCGTCATCGTAGCCTGTAACCTGTAGCCTACTAGCTATTTACCTAATCCAAGGAAGAAAGACTATCTCTACTATCGGAGGGGTGGGAAATCAGCTATCAATCCGGCGCGGCAGTTACTAGACTATTCCCCCCTGGATTGTTATCGTTGCTGCTGCTCCTGCTGCTGCCGATCCCCCGAGCGCCACTTCTCGACCCACGGTTTAGCGCCCCCTCACTCTGCTTCTCACTAAGTAGTTCAATCGATTCCCGAGGTTAAACGCGCAAGATACCAGAATTCCAGCCTCTGGGAAAGTTGGAACTTGCCGGTTGATTCATTTTCCAATGCTGAATGGGAAAGGAAGATCCCTCCAACAATAGGGCCAACTGCATGAGATGTGATCCACTGCCTCAGGCACGTTGTGGTCGATCTGGAACGTCACTTGTCAAGGATGGCACGGTAATTGATTGCCATGCTGAATGGATCGGTTCCTCTGGATCGGAGTCTCTGTCTGGGACAAGGAAAATGCCGCCGTAAATCAAACCCTGCATCTGCCAATCGCCTCTGCTCGTGGTTACCCGTGACATTTCCTGTTATCGGGGGGGCTTGTCCTGCTGAGCGGGTGATCCCATGCTCCGAAGCCATCTGCGATCTGACCGTAGTTAGGGCGGGCAGCTGACTTGATGGCTGCGCCAGTCACTTGCGATGGAGGTAATGTGATGTATGCAGCTTAGTCAATAAGATTGTGACATCAGCTGGAATGTTGTTTGCTGCTGATGGACTGATAGACTGATTAGACGGGATGTAAAAAGGAAATACTCCTGTCTAGTAGTTGGCTTGGCTCGTATTGTTGAGCATCCAATGATTATTGTGCATTAGGTTAGGTAATTATCTCCTTTGTGTCAGTATTCAACTTCCATTAATGCCATGTATAATACTGGCAACTATCTACTGGTAATAATGCACATACAAGGCTATACCCTCTACTGAGTACCTAGTAGATGTCGTAATACCATCCTGCTAAGGCATACTCAATATGAGACACAGCCTCGACATCTAGACTGCCAGTACCCCACTCTCAGCCTGGCAGTAGCAGATTGAGTCATAGCCTGGCGTCTAGAGCAGATCCTAGAATAGTCCCCGACTTCTATGACACTTACCTACCACAGTAAGATACATCAAAAGAATATACCAAAGAATAATATGCCTTCCTGAGTAGTCCACAGCATTGTGGATTGATGGTCTTGTAAAAGTCACTTGGCATGTGTCATAATCCAGAGTTATGTTGGACAAAGTGCAAGCTGAGGCAGTATCATCATGATTCATACTAATGCTCTCATTATTGGCTGGGCTATCTTCCTGATAATCTCAACATGCATTGGGGGCGGCTAGGTAGGCTTACGGAGTAAAGCACCAATATAGCCGAGGTACTATATTGTCCAGATCACGTCTTTTCAAGGTCTCTCTTTTAGTACACACCAAGCACAATTACTTCAGGCATAATTCAAGATCGAGCCTTACACCAGGAAATGTAGATATCAAACATAGTAAACGAAGAATGTATTTTTCCGGCAAAACACCACCATGCATGCAATCCATATTACTATACTACCCATCCAGCGTCCAGCACCAGATGCCAATCCCAAAGTACAAAGCAACACCATACCATAATACAATACACTACTCATCCATCTGCCACTGATAATCCAGCGCCTCCAACCTCCCCTTCCGATTCCTAGCCAAGAACCACTCCTTCTCAAACCCATTCCCCCGATCCACCCCATCCCACCGATGTCCAGGACGAATACCATACCGATTCGGCGCAAACCCCCCCTTATACAACGGCTTGCCCGTCCGACTCGTCCCTCCCTCCTTAGCACTGGTCAAGAACTGCGCAGCCGGATCATTCCACCTCAACTTCCCCTTCAACTCATCATTCAGCTCTTCATCCTCCGCCGTCCTCGCCAACGGCATAGCCCTCACATCCCTCAACTGCTGCTTCCTCTCCTCCCTCTCCCTCCTCTGCACATCACCCATCAGCGCCTCCTTGGCCTCCTCTTCCTTCGCCTTCTTCTCCTCCTCCGCCCGTCTCGCCTCCGCCCTCTTCAACGCCACATTAATAATCCGTCCACTCGCATCACGATAAATCGTCTCCTGCGCTTTCTCCCCCAACGCCGACTCCTTATACTTCGCCGCATCCGCCTTCTTCTTCCTCTCCTGCGCAGCGACCATCGCCGCCGTCTGCGCCGCAGTTTGTAATCCCGCCCGCGCCCCGGACTCCATCTTCACCCCTCCATCTTCCTCATCATCTTCCTCCATTCCCTCCACAACCGGCGCATCATCATCATCTTCATCACCACCCCCTTGTTCACGCCGCCGTTCCTCCCTCTCCGCTATCGCATCCGCTAATATCTTATCCGCCGCGTCTTGCTCAGTACCACCCGGTGTAAGAGTCTTCCACCCGGAGGTCTTCTTCCGTCGGAACTCGCCCGTCCGAGCACCACTGACTATCGACGGCGCGTCCTCGTCATCATTAAGGAGATTGTTGCCCGCGGAGCGGAGATCAGGCGGGTCGTCGTCGGCGATGATGAGTCCGGTGGGTGTGGAGTCGGTGGTTTTGGAGCTGTTCTTCTTGCGTTTCTTCTTAGGACGGTCGGGGGCGGGGTCCGCGTTTAGGTAGTTTTTCGCGAGGTAGTCTGCTAGGGAGGACATTTTGTAGTGTGTGTATATTTGGGTGGGCGGTAGGTGGGTAAGTGAGGAAGTAGTGTAGTAGTAAGTTGAAAGGTCGGTATCTGATAATCGGACGAGGGATTTTCCGGGTAAGCTAACTGCTACTACCCCAGTGATGTAGTTTATGCCTTAGGCAATAACATATACCGTCTACATCCACTCTCACTTCATACCTATATACATACACACCATATCTATATACACCATAATATAAACCAAAAACATGAAATAGAAATAGCAATGCCCCGCACCGACGAAGCCGACCACTTCATCAACGCCGTCTACT